CCCAGAGGAGCCCAGAGCGGCCTCCGGCACCGTTTCCGGACGGATCCGCTGGATCCGCTGGATCCGGTGACGAATCCCAAACCGGCGCCCTCGCCTGAGACATCCTCACAAAACGGGCCCCGGGGGGGATGCCCAGAGGAGCCCAGAGCGGCCTCCGGCACCGTTTCCGGACGGATCCGCTGGATCCGCTGGATCCGGTGACGAATCCCAAACCGGCGCCCTCGCCTGAGACATCCTCACAAAACGGGCCCCGGGGGGGATGCCCAGAGGAGCCCAGAGCGGCCTCCGGCACCGTTTCCGGACGGACGACCTGACTGCATAACACGCCTGGATATGCCGACGGGGGCGAGGAGGAGGAGGAGGAGGAGGAGGAGGAGGAGGAGGAGGAGGAGGGGGAGGGGGCAGGCGAGGGAGCCCCGGCCCTGGGGGAGGGGCCCTGAGGGAGCCCTGATGGGCTTCCGGCACCATGGAGAGGTCCTGTGGGGCGGCCGCCCCTTCTTCTCTCGGTCGTTTCCCTCTCGCCCAGAAGCGCGCGCCCCTTCTTCTATATATACAGAAACTCCCGATCAACCGCAGAGCGGCGGATGTAACTTGTCAAGAGTAGCTTCTTACAAAATCGTCCCCAGAGTATAAGTTGACTAATTTTTGAGTATTCCCCACTTGAAGACTATCTTCGACTATTTGTGGTGATTTGTTGTACTATTCCATCTGCTTGTTGGAGGGACACGCTCGACTTCAGCCCACTCTCTCCCTGCCCCACCCACCCTCGACCCACCCACCTTAAGCCCACTCCTTCCCTGCCCCCCCCCCGCCCACCCATGAAGGGGCCCTGGGACACACACACACACACACACACACTTTTTGGTCGGCGGGGCGAGAGCGAACCTCTTCCGCTAAAAGCTAGGCGTCTACGCACAGCTCCCACACACACACATAAATACACAAATAAAAAGATTACCCATATTCTCCGATGCTTCCTGGGTTTTTGTCTTCCCCCCCACTTCCCATATTTTCCCATATTTCCTGGGGAATCGACGATTCATTGTGTCTGTCTGTGTATTGTTTTGTTCCCTCCTGAACCCCCTCGGCGGCGACGATAGGGGCGAATGGCCCAGGGGCGGGCATTTCACGTATTCGCCCGGGAGCCTTTTCGAAGACATAGATCATCGGTGCATCTGAATGCATGTATGGCTCGCCCCTGGGCTATTCGCCCCTATCGTCGCCTCTGACCCCCCCCACCCACCCACCCTCCTCGAGCCTACGCGCCCCACTTCCGTGCCCTCGAGCGCACGTGCTCCCTCCCTGCCCCCCGCCCACCTCGAGCGCGCGTGCCGACCCGCCCCCCCCCCTCGTCCGCGCGCGCTGCTCGTGACCAGCCGAGCTCCCGGCGCCGGACGGCGCAGGGGGGTGTGAAGGGGCCCTGGGACACAGAGAGAGAGAGAGAGAAATACACATAAAGACAAGGATTCCCCATCTTTTCCCATATTTTCTGGATTTTTGTCCTCCCCCCCACTTCCCATGTCTTCCCATATTTTCCTGGGAGTGGATGATTCATTGGGTTTGTGTGTTTGTTCCCCTCCTGAGGGTGGGGGGGGGCCGCGGCGCGGCGGCTCGAGCCATCGACGCGAGGAGGGGGGTGGGTATACACAGATGACATATCCGCATCGTGTCTCTCAAAACAGCTACAAACCATTTGTCCGAGGGGATGTATCTCCACATTCCATGTGCACAGGATTTCTAAAAACAAGTTTACACACACATTATCCGAGGGGATGTATGTACGTATTGCATATACGCATAAGTATATACGCATAGTGTCGAAAAACAACATTAAAACACTCTGAGGGGATAAATTGAAATAATCATATTCCCAGCGCTGTAGTGCGCAGATAGAATAACAAAAAGAAGGCGGGACAAACCGCATCGCCGGGACGTCCCCCGCGACGGTCATCTTGAGGCCATCTTGGGCGTCTTGGAGCGCTCTGGGGCTCTTGGACCGCTCTTGGACCTCTCGTGTCGCCTTCTGGGGGCGTCTTGAGCCTCCCGGCGCAATCCCAGCGCGCTCCCAGGGCTCTGGGTCCCCGTGGCGCGCTGAGGGGCCGCCCTGGGAGCCACCAGCCATGTCCCCCAGAATGTATGTATGTATGTGTAGATATATATATATATATATATATATATATATATGTATATATATATATATATATGTATGTATGTATGTATGTATGTATGTACGTACGTACGTACGTACGTACGTACGTACGCACGTGTGTATGTGTGTACGTGTTTATGTATGTATGTATGTATGTATGTATTTATGTATGTATGTATGTATATATGTATGTACGTACGTATGTATGTATGTATGTATGTATGTATGTATACATGTATGTATGTACGTACGTACGTACGTACGTACGTGTGTATGTGTGTACGTGTTTATGTATGTATGTATGTATGTATGTATGTATGTATGTATGTATGTATGTATGTATGTGTGCATATATGCATGTATGTATGTATGTATGTAGGTAGGTAGGTAGGTAGGCATGCATGTATGTACATATGTATGCATGCATGCATGCATGTATGTATGTAGTATGTAAGTGTGTCTGTATGTATGCATGCGTGTAAATATGGTTGTGTATATATGTATAAAACATGGATTTGTGCAACATCAATCGCATCGTTCCGGTCTCCGTGGGATAGTTTTCTGGGGGGCGAAACAAACTGTCGTTCGGCGGCAAAGTAATGGCAGTCTGTATCTGGGGGGAGGGGGTGCATCATGTTTAACATATGATGGATCACATGTGTGTGAACATATGCAAGTACATGGGTGTACATGTTTGAAGATTACAAGTATGTGTGTATGCATGTATGTATGCATGCATGTATGTGTATGTATGCATGCATGTATGTGTATGTATGTATGTATGTATGTGTGTATGTATGTATGTATGTATGGTATGGTATGCATGTATGTATGTATGTATGTATGTATGAATGTATGTATGTATGTATGTATGTATGTATGTATGTATGTATGTATGTATGTATGTGTATATATGTATGCATGTATGTATGCATATGTGTGTATGTATGCATGTATGTATGGAGTGATGCATGTGTGTATGTATGTCTGCATGTCTGCATGTCTGCATGTCTGCATGTCTGCATGTCTGCATGTATGTATGGATGTATGGATGTATGGATGTATGGATGTATGGATGTATGTGTGTGCTTATTCATGTATGCTTACACCTCCTCCTGGGGAACCGACGTCCTGGGGCCCCAGCGGGCAGCGGATATGTGTCTATCTTGGCCCCAGGCGGGCCGAACAAGTCCAGATCCACCGCCAGCCGAGGCCCCAGAAGATCGATCCCCCCGGGCTGCGGTATGCGTCAGCTCCTGCCGCCGCTGCTGTCGCACCGCACTCGGCGAGCGGGGGCCCCGGGTGGGCCCGCACCAGAGGATCACTCCGGCGAATGGCCACCCTTACGTTCAAGTCGAGCCTGTCCCCCTACAGGCCGATTTTGGACGAAAAATTTATAATACCCAACAAATGCCACAAAGATGCCCAAAAATGCTCAAAAATATTCCCCAGACTATTTTTTTGACTATTCTTGAATTTCCCCCCTGTAGAGGGACAGGCCCGAATAAAATGTAGTCGACTCGTCCGCCCTGCTCGTGATTGGTTTGCTCCCGGCGCCGGACGGCAGGGCATCAGAGCCCAAAATCGAATATAAGTCGGATCGGCGGTCGAGATGAGTCGGACCGGCGGAAATCGGCAGCCAAGTCGTTAGTCGGGCGTGTCCCCCTACAGGGGTATTTTGGGCGAAAAATAAAAACGTCCTGCAAAATACCCCCAAAATGCTCATTGAATATTCTCCCTGTAGAGGGACAGGCCCGACTTAAGCCAAGTGGGGAGAAGCCGAATCGGCAGACATCGGCAGGCTGTTAGGCCTCCGGTGAGAAGTCGGGTCCCAAAGAGGAATCCCGAATCGAATGGAATCGGAATCGGGAGCCATCGAAGACGAATCGACTCGAATCGGAGGGATCGAAACGAGACCTGGGAGACGGGGCCTCCCCGCGGCGGCCCAGGCTACCGACTCCCCGCGGCATCCTCTCCGGGGATGCCCTCTGGCCAGAGCGTCGAGGTGAGGCGCGCCGTGGCGACGGGCAGGCCGCATCCAGGCCCAAGAGGGGCGAAACACGTCCAGCCATCAAAAATCTCAATGCTCTTCCTCCTCCTCCTCCTCCTCCTCCTCCACCTCCTCCTCCCCCTCCTGCTCCTCCTCCTCCCTTTCCTCCTCCTCCTCCTCCTCCTTCTCCTCCTCCTGGTCCTTCTGAGCATCGTCCAACCGCCTTATCCCTATGGGCATGGCCTGGGCCCCACTGGCCGATTTGCCCTCCTGTAGGGATATGGGCCACTACCTTCGAGTTTCGAGGGGTATATCCCAGACTGGGGTGCTGAGATGGTGGGGGTCTGGATAGGGATGGAGATGGGGATAGGGGTCGGTGAAACTATCCTGACCTTCTCACCATCATCATCAGCAACAACATCACCACCACCACCACCATCACCGTCACCATCACCAAACTCATCAACTTCATCATACCATATCATCATCCTAGCCGCCATGATCGGGATAGATCGTCCACATGTAAGGAACACTGACGGCAACTACGGGGATGAACAACGTGAACTCACCACTGAAACATGAACGATGATTCGTCATGTGTTCGATGCCCTTTGGGGGCCTTCCGGGACCTCCAGAGATCCCTGGAGGGTGGGTGGCGCCACATATAGGTCGGGAGGTGGACAGACCGCAGACACACCGAGGGCAGACTGGACAGATCGAGACTGGATCTCTCCTGAACAGCGCGCCGCCTCCTCTCAGGCTTCACGCATGGCCTCCAGGGCCACCTCGCTTCAAGGGGGGGGGAGAGCGCGAAGCGAGGGGGGAGACCTCGACTGTCCACCTCCCAAATGCCCCCCCGTCCTCCGAGCTGCGCTCCGCGACACTCAGCCCGTGCCAGTGGAGGTCGAGGTTGGTCAGGGCGCTCAGGGCGTAATTGACGGCCGAGACAGACGCCGCGGGCGCGAGCCGTGCCTGTGGATACGCACCCTCTCTGAGGGCTCAACGGCTTTTGATGTCCCTGGATTCGCGCAGTAGCGTCCACGATGCCTCTTGGTTTCTCGGGACACCTCCGGATGTACCTCAATGCGCATGACATGTTCACTGAGTCGCAACGGCTTTCCTCAGCATGTTGATCTGTATCCGCACGAGTCGATTGGAGAAGAGTCGTCAAGGCCTTGGGTATCCTCCTCTTAGTCCTCCTTCTCATCCCCCTCCACCTCCTCCCTCTGCATCCTCCTCAGTGTTATCATCATGGTTATCCTCTTCCTCCTCCTCCGTACTCCTTCTTACTCCTCCCTCCTCCTCCTCCTCCTCCTCCTCAGCTTCATGATGATCCTCTCCTGGCCTCCCTCCTCCCACTGCTCACTCCTCCTCATCCTTCTTCTCCTCGCCTTCCTCATGCTCCACCCTTTTTCCTTATGACCAACTCCCCCCTGCCGCACCACACGGCGTGTCGGCAGGGCGGGCCGGGCGTGTCGATTAAGACTTCCTCGCCACTTCTGATCCTGAAGCTTGACAGCTGCAACAATGTCACTGAGGAAGGGCTGGTCGTTTTCCACATGAGGCTCTCGCCGTAGCGCCGCAAACATTCGCCCTAAACATGTGCAGCAAATTTACGGATGGAAGGCGGGTCGTGTTTAACATGTGGCTGTCGCCTTAGAGCCGTGCGCAGTCGTTTAAAACTACGCAGCGGTATCACGGATGGAGGGCGGATCTTTTTCAAAATGTGGCTCTCGCCTTCGAGCCGTGCACGTCCTCTCCGGATTCGCAACAATTCCACGGATTGAGAGCAGATCGGCTTCACAATGTCGGTCTCGCCTTAGCGCCGCGCATAATCGCCCTCAAAGTGTGCAACAGTTTCACGGGTGAAGGGCGAGTCGTTTCCAAAACGTGACTCTCGACGTAGCGCCGCGCACACTCGCCTGTCAAATTTCAAAAAGTTAACGGGTTCGTATGGTCGAAGTCTAAAAATGGTGTTCCTGAACGGTTTCGGATGCCCATGACGAGCAGTCACACTGATTCGCTGTGTTGAAGCCCCAGGAATGGTGTCCTGGCACGGTTCAGACTTGTCAGGACGCGACAATAATCTTGATTCGCGGCATTGAAGTCGCAGGAACGGACGAAGTTTTGGCACGATTGAGGATTCTCAGACGATTGTCTTCTAATGGGCCATAATGAACGTAACTTCTTTCAGGGGCCTGTGAAGAGGGAACTTCGAGGGAGGGCATTGCGGCATCGTTGATGCATCTTGGGTTTACACTGGCCATCTTCCCTCCTCCTCCTCCTCCTCCTCCTCCTCCTCTCTGCTCGACTTCCTCATTCACGTTCTCCTCGTCGTCCTCATGATCTATCCTCCTTCTTTCTCCTCTTCCTCCTCCTCATATTCTTCTTATGATCCTCCCCCCTCGTTCTCCTTCCCATCACCTGTATCCTCATCATGGTTCTCCTCATCCTGTTTCTCCTCATCCTCCTCCAAAATCCTTACTACTCCTCCTCCTCCCCATCTATCTCCTCCTACTCCTCCTCCTCCTCCTCCTTCTCTGCTTCCCCCTCCTGCTCATCATCATCAGCATCCTCATCATCAGCATCATCATCATCGTCATCATCATTACCAGTAGCAGCATCAGCGTCGCCGTGGTCGTCGTGGTCGTCGTCGTCCTCGTCGCCGTCGTCGTCATCGTCATCATCATCACCACCATCAGCATCACCACCATCGCCATCACCATCATCACCATCGCCATCACTATCACCAGTATCATCACCATCACCATCACCATCACCATCGTAATCACCATCCTCAGCATCGCCACCATCAGCATCGACGTCGTCAGCATAATCGTCATCATCAGCATCAGCATCATCATCAGCATCATCATCATCATCATGATCATGTTCATGATCATGATCATCATCATCATCATCATGATCATCAACATCAGCATCATCATCATCATCATCATCATCATCATCATCATCATCATCATCATCATTATCAGCATCTCCTTGACCATCACCATCGTCGTCATCATCATTCACATCATCATCATAATCATCATCAGCGTCGTCATCAACATCAAAATCATCATCATGAGCATCATCAGCATCGTCGTCATCGCCATCAGCATCGTCATCATCATTATCACCATTGCCATCATCATCACCAATCCTCATCATCATCCTCATCAGAATCCTCATCATCATCATCATCATCATCATCATCATCCACATCAGCATACGTAATCATCTTCATCAGCATCATCATCAGCATCCTCACCATCAGCATCATTATCAGCACCGTCACCATCACCTTCACTATCACCACCGCAATCAGCAAGCATCAGCATCAGCATCAGCATCAGCATCAGCATCGGCATCGGCATCGGTATCGGCATCGGCAGCATCATCAGCATCAGCATCAGCATCAACATCATCAGCATCATCGGAATCATCAGCATCATCAGCATCAGCATCAGCATCAGCATCAGCATCAGCATCAGCATCCATCAGCATCAGCATCAGCATCAGCATCAGCATCAGCATCAGCATCATGATCATGATTATCATCATCATCCTGTTCTTCCCCCCCTCCCTCTCCTCCCCCATCCTCCTCCCCGCAAGAATGACCTCTGGCCGCCCTGCTGGCGCGCGCGCACGCTGCGTCTGCATACGCGCGCCGCGGCCGCTGGCGGCCCCAGGAGAGCACCCAGGGGGGGGCCCGGAAACGCGCCGCCGCCGGAGAAATACTGCTGGGACAGCGGGCTCGTATCGCGTCATGCTGCTCGTGCCAGTCGCTCCTCCGAATCGGGGCAGGCACCCTCCGCAACGTGAGGCCACTGCCGCCTCAGTCGGCGCCGGTCTCGCCCGGAAACGGCAGCTGTCGCGAGCCCACGCTGCCTTAGTCCCAAGTGTTTCGTTCCCTCGAATCGAATCGCCCGCCCCATCTGGGCCACATCTGGCCCACGTAGCCGTATGGCCCCATCGGGGCCACGGGCATGTTAATCAGGGCTCGGGGTCGCCGACCTCCGTGAAACCACCGGCGCGTGAATGAGACCGCCGGCCCCATGGGGACCGCAAACGCTCGTGCCTCTAAGTGCCGCTATCTTCAACAAAAAAACAATTCGAAGACATTCGACAGTTCCGCAGGTTGGCCACATAACGTCCGCGTCCCCCCCCCCCTTCGTCCTCCCCTCCCCCGAGCGCCCCGAGCCCCTGCCGCTCCCCGTGGTGCTCTGGTGCCCCTGGTGCCCAAGGGCGGTGGGCTGCGTGCAACCCTGCCGCCACGCGCGTCACGGCGGGCGCGCTCGCGAACACGGCGGGCCGACGAAATCCACACAGACTTTTTTGTTCGTGCGCAACAAAGCGTGGCCCCCCTTGTCACTGCGCCGGCCTTGCAGACATGCTGCAGCGGATTTCTGCGTGGACTTCTGCGTGGATTTCTGCCCGAAACGGCGAGCGAAAAACAAAGTGAATTTCGCGTGGGTTCTTTTTGGTCTTCACCCCTGGCCAAAAAAGATCCGCACGAAATTCACCTCGAAATCTGGAACGACATTCTCCAGGACACTCCGGGCCCACCCTATCGTTTTCCGATCAAAATTTGCTCTGCGATGTTGGCACCGTGACCCTTGAGGCAAAATGCCACGGAGAAGCCCACACAAACTTCTTATGTGTGGTCCGTCGCAGCGCCGAGGCGTAGAAATTCGAGCGAACCGCGCGAAGACGGGCTCGCGCGGCTGGGCACTCAGAAGCGGGATCCCGTTTTGATCGACCGCGCCATAAGCCACCCAGGCGCAAAGTCCACCCACACACACAGCACATAATCCGAAGCACCGAATGGGAGCTGATGCTGCTGCAGCTGCACAGCTCTCTTGGTGCAACGGAGGGGGAGAGAGATGGAGAGTTGCCAAAAGCGGGGCCCCGTGATCTAAGCCAGGTTTCAGCGCCAACGCCAAGCAGGAAGGAGTGGCAGGCCCCGCCAGACTGCGGCCACCTCCCCGCTCTCGGGGTGTCCAGTGCCATCCGGGCCAGACAATGAGCGGGCCGACACGGCCGCCGCAACAAGATGGTCTGCCTCCGAGCGCCAGCATCACAACAATAAAGAAAACGATCGCCTCCAGACTCCCATCGGCTGGACACCACCCGACGACATCGACGACCCCTCCGCCAGGCCACTGCGAGAACGAACAACTGATAGCTCGGAGCCAAAAGGTATCGTCCGCGAGGACAACTGGCCTTGAGACCCCGCACATATCCTCCTCTTGCTATCCCCAATTATCATCCTACTTGCCCAAATCCTGCCGTTCCTCCCGTCCTCCTCCTTCTCCTCCTCCGCCTCCTCCTCCTCCTTTCTCAATCCCCCGCCTCGTGCTCGTCCTCCTCGTGCGACTCGTCCTCGTGGTCGTCCTCCTCCTGCTCCTCCTCCTCCTCTTCCTCCTCCACCTCGTCCTCCTCCTCGCCCTCCCTCTTCTCGTCTCCCTCGTCCTCGTCCTGCTCCTGCCTAAGTACTCCTGGGTCCGCTCCTCCTCCTCCTCCTCCTCCTCCTCCTCCTCCTCCTGCTCCTTTTCCTCCTTTTCCTGGGTGTGTTCCTCCTCCTCCTCCTGCTGCTGCTCCTCCTCCTCCTCCTCAATCCGTTTCCTGGCTCCACTACCCCTGGAGCGCACTCCGCCTCGTCATGGGTCTGATCCGTTTCTTCCTCCTCGTCCTCCCCATCATCCTGCTCATCATCACCATCATCATATCGTCCTCATCACCACCACAACCAGCATCAGCATCATCAGCTTCATCAACATCATCATAATCATCATACTGATCATCATCAGCATCATCATCGCCCACAGCATCATCATCACCACTTGCTTCTCCTCTTCCTCCTCCTCCTGCTCCTCCCTACTTTCTTCTCCCCCTTCTCCCCCCACAGGGGGGAGAACATACGAAGGCCCCCCCCCCTGCACCAAGGACCCAGCGAGGCCCTGGCGGGGACAGTTCACGTTGGGGCCCTTGTGCAAAACCACCACGGGTGAAACGAGGCACGCGCAACGGCGGTAAGGAGCAGTACATGGCACACCGCGGCCGACAGGTGACGAGACCCCCGCCTCAGGCGAGGGTCTCACCATCGGAATGCAGCTGGAAAGGTGCAGGAGGGGCGACCCAACCGAGAAAATGGAAGGAGAGGAAACGGAGGGCGGGGGGCGGAGATGGTCGTGGTGGTCGTGGTGGCGGTCGTAGTGGTCGTGGCGGTGGTCGCGGCGGTGGTCGATGTCGTGGCGGTGGCTGTCATGGTGGTCGTGGTCGTGGTCGGTGCGTGGTCATGTTCGCGATCGTCGTGGCCGGTCGGAAGCGCCTGTGGTAGTGGCGTCGTGGAAGGCGCAGCGCAGTGGCTGCGGCCGCGGTGTTGGCTGAAATAATCATTGTGGCAGGCCCCAGGTCGTGGTGGTTCAGGCGGGAATTGTGTGGCAGCGCTCGTGGTTGCGGCTTTGGTAGGGCTAATGGCAGCGGTAACGACCCAGGCCGCGGCCGTTCGCCTCGGCGGCGGTGCGTCGCCTTGGCCGCGAGGCCCTTCACCAACCCAGCGCGCTAAACAGCGGTTCCGCGTTTCTGGTCTGGAGATGCGAGCTGACGTGATGCCAAACGAAAAAATTACCTCCGTCCGGCGGGCCAGGGCCATGTTGTGCGCCGAATACCGCACGTAACTACGTCACAATATGTTCACCAAGCCGCCCGCCAGCCTAGAAGATAACAGGGACCAGCTCCCCTCCGTGCGGCGGGTATTGCAGGTGCTAGGCGTACACATCACTCTGGGCCGCAAGCACATCTCGGCTGGCGCGCGCCTGCTGGCGCGACAAGTCGTCGTTGTGCGCGCAGGCCACGCTAACGTCCAGAAGAACAGGCTGTCCCGTGATGGCGTCCCCGGTGGCCACGCCCACGCGGTCCCAAGCCAAGACGCGCTGCTCGGTGACCGAAGTGAAGCCAATCATCTTCTGGTGATACACACTGCAACAATCCCGCACACCATTGTGCCGCCGGTTGCTGACCGGACCGTATGGGCACTTGTGGGCGTGCTTGGCGCGACCGACCATGACCTGATCACAGATTGTCCCTTCCGCCCGGCGGTGCTGATACGTACGCGCAGAGGGGCATGCGGAGTCTGTCCACGAGCGTCATCTGGAAATGGTCCTCGGGCACGAGCGCCAGCTCAAGCCCCTTGCGGTGAACGGGTTGTGCCAGGACCTCCCCCAGCGCCCGGACCGCCAGCCGACCGCAGGTCGACCTGATCGTCCTCGCCCAAACTCGCAACTCCGTTTTGACGGCCTCCCCCAAAGTTGCGGCCAACTCCTTTGGCTCCTTTTGCTGCGGCTCCGCGAGACACGCCACCCAATCGGGGCGGGCGATCTGGCCGCGGCTCTGGGTATGGAAACGGCCCCCCGTCTTGGTAAGCGAGCCGGCCACAGGCGCGAAGCGCGTTGCGAACACCTCCAACGAGGTCTCTCCCAAGGTTAGGGCCACGTTTTGCAGGGTGAGCGCCCAGCTTCCGAGGAAAGCGGCCGCGGCCACTCTTTCGGCAGACATGAGGCCCAGGCCGCCGCCAACGAAGCGCAATAAGCACTGCGCCTCCTGGCCCTCCCGCAACGGCTGCCGACCCCGCGACGTCTGCGTCGAGCTGCTGCGACCACAGGCCCTCCTCGTAGCTTGCCCGGCGGAGGTGTGCGACGGTACCGTGGGTGTCTGGAGGGGGGAGAAGCAGGTGGCGAGGGTGGAGCCCTGCGCCTCGAGAGCCCTCCAGCTGGCTGACAGGGCGCTCGGCCTCTCCCCCGTGCTCCTCCTCTCCCCCTCCTACGCCCTCCCCCCTCCTCCTCCCCCCCCGCCGTCCTCCTCACCAGTCTCCCGAGCAGGAGGCCTGCAGGGTCGCAATGCAGGACGCGAGGCCGAGCGTCGGCGGGATCACGACGACGAGGCCCATGGCCCCGAGCACCGTCGCGCCGCAGAGGAGCAGGAACACAAGGAGCCCCAAGTGTGTCCGCGAGGCGTTCATGGCCCTTGCCTGGGAGCACACGGAGAAGCGACTGCGACGAAGCCGGGACGAGGATGCATTCGGGTGAGGAGAAGTCGAGAACCTCTGAGATCCAGCGGCTCTGAGAGATGTCTCGGGCGCTGCAGCCTTCTCGTAGCGTCCCCGAACGCTCCGAGAGCGTTCAGGAACGCTCTGGAACGGATCTATCCTCGGCCTAGCCCTGTCCGAGCGACACCCAGAGTTCCGACGATGTGATTGTTTTCCTTAGATTTCGGCCTCTAGAGGGCTGGCTACTGGGCCCCAGGGCCATCAACAGTGGATTCGGGACGCCGAGCTACTCCCAAGGAAGCGGTCGGGACCTCTGGGGCTGAGGCTTGAACATGAATCAGACCGGCGGATGTCAGGACACCACGACTGCTGGCGCGAGGAGCCCCAGGGGCTCCTCCTGGTGACGTGGTCGCCCCCCCTCTCGCTCGAGACACCTCCGACCTCCCCGGCTTGGGGAGGCATCGTGGACCTCCTCGCCGGATGGGGCGGCACCCCTGGCGGTGGGAGCGAACGATGTACCCGTACTGCTACTCCCCGGACCTCTCCTGGGGTGCGTTCTGACCGGGCTTTCGCAACGAATCCAGCTGCCGCGGCGACGTAGGAAGGGTGATGGTATCGGTATCTCCTCCTACACTAAATAACTTTTGGTGGTGGGTCTCGCTTCGTTTATCTAGAGGAACTACACAAGGCATAAACATAACCTTTCGACGGTCCGCGCGGATTTCTTGGATCTGCAGCACCCCTCGGTGGCGCGCGGAGCGTGCCAGGGGCGGCGCCGCAGGCGCCGCCAAAGAGGTCCAACGCAGACTACAAAATCCGCGCGGACCGTCGAAAGGCTATGCTTATGCCGGTGCTTGTTCCTCTTCGCTTCCACTCCCCCCGACGGCCCAGCGCGAGTAGCGCTTGGCCAGCGGGGCCATGCGCGTGCTCACGTACGACTCGACGGAGACGGGCAGCAACGGGTCCGCGCCGCCCTGCGCCAGGTCGTCGCGGGGGTCGCCGCCGCCGAGGCAGGCGAGCAGCTGGCTACACCGCCCGCCGCGCTCCGAGACTCCGTACAGCGAGAGGCTGACGTGCCGCCGCAGCGCCCCGGGGTCCGCCGCGAAGTCAGGGGCGGGGCCGTCGTCGTCGTCGCCGCCGTCGGCGAGCCCGGCGAGCGCCTCGCCGCTGATCTCCCGCAGCCGCCTCGCGAGCCGTCGGGCATGGTCGGCCTGGTCGGGCTCGGCGGCCCTGGTGGGAGAGAAGGGAACTAACGGCGCGAGCATGAAGCTTCGGAGGGACAGTCGGGCCGCCGAAGCCAGGAACGACAGAGAGGGAGCGAGAAGCTCCCCGTGGGCGCCCAGGGCGTCTGCGTGCACGAAGAGCGCTGGAGGCACAACCGCGGCGGGACCCAAGGAACAGCGAGCCCCGCCCGAACCCAAAGCGGCCTTTGTGCCATCGTCTCGGCCGCAGGTGCGGACAACCAAGATCCGCGCCAAGTCCCGCCCCCTTTCCGCCACCTGGGATCCGCGAGGACCGCGCCGAGCGGCACGACAACACATCAAAAAAACGACAAGTGGGGAAGAAGTCCCAGGCGAGGAGGAGGAGGAGCAGGAGGAGAAGCAGGAGAAGGAGGAGAAACCCGCCTGGCGCGCGGAGCGCAGCAACCGCCCAGAGGGGGTCCAGTGCCGATCGACGAAGTCCGCGCGGACCACGGGGCGTTTATATGCTCAGTCCGATCTTTACAACAGGATCTCGACCACAAGAAGCCTTCCACAGGAACCCAACCTTGAGTCCCCAGGATGTCCATTGATTTTTGGTATGGGGACGTCACTGTTTCCATCGTAGAAACATCGAAACCCAAGAAACCTGGGGCACCCTGGAGGCAAGCAAGGTGTTTCTTGGCATAGACCTCCACTGGATGTTTCATATTTGGGAGGCCTTGCGCCTGTTCCCTCGCGCCGCCATCCTTGGCGAATCCGCGTTGACTTGTCGAACCCGCGCCGAACTCACGTCCAATCCGCGCCGAATCCGCGTCGAAGAACGGGCGAGAACATCGTTTCACCGACCCCCCCACCGGCCTCGGAAGAAACTAGCGAACACTCACGCCGCATTCATCTGTCAATGCCCCCCCAATGAGCAATGTTGGGGGGTGGGTTGAATGAGCTGATCCCCATAGGCATGGCAATGGTCCCGCTGGCCGATGTGCCGGAATTGCTTCGTATGCTGATCCGTCTCATCGTTCCTCTCTCTCCTTCCCGGTACTACGCCGCATTCGGAAGCAGCTTGCAAAAGCGCCTCCGTCACTGCTGCTACAACCTTTGGGTTCTCGGGCAAAACTTTCGATTGAACAAAATGGTAAGCCTCCTTGCTGGCCGTCATCTTCCACTCTCTTCCCGTTTCCGCCAGCTTCAATCGCTATTGTTTCTCAATATACTCCCGAACTTTGTCCATGTGGCCCTGTGGTCAGTCTTTTGCATCAAGTCCAGGATCACATCTGTTTTCTGCAATTCTGCGTTGAGGCACCGATCGGTCAATCTGTAATCAATATATCATGTTCCCTGTACTCCATAATTTGCGCGTCGTTCTGTCCTCACACCCTTTTGGAAGTACTAACTGTGCTAGCAAATGTGTGTGGATGCCCACGCTAAGAACTGATCCCCTCTGCTTGCCCTCGCGCCCAGGCCAAACTTGCCAGAGCAACCGTGGTCATCTACGTTGTTCTGCTGGCCAGCATCCGCATGCCTCCACATCAATGATGCACTGCCTGTGTGTCCTGTTTTGGGGAAGCGCCTGCGCACAGATGTTCCAACGTGAGCTCGCACTCCATGTCTGAACGACCCGCGTGTGGTACCAGGAGCTGAAACTGTTCTCCAATGCCCTGTCTTTGTATCTAGGACTGCGTATGCAGATCTCCCCCCGCCCACCACAAATAAGTCTGGAAAGTGTGCAACCCATCTTCTTCGAGTACGAAGGCATGTGCTTGTATCCCTGTCCCTCTCCCTCTTCGTTCCTACGCACCACAAATGTCCCGAACGCACATTCCCCCCACAAGGCACCAAAACGGCCTCCCAAAGGCCCCAAACTGCCTCCAACGGCCCCCGAGAGAGGTGGTCGGAAACGTTTTTCCAGCTCCAAATGGCTCCAAGGTGGCCTCCAAGACGGCAAATTCGCCCCTCAGATGGTCCAAGATGGCCTCCAAGACGGCCCCAGAGCGTCAAAGATGCCTCAAGATTTGCCCAAGCAGCCTCCAAGATGGTCCAAGATGGCCTCAAGATGACGGCAGACGGCCCACGAGGCCACCAAGAGGTCTCCAAGACGGCCCAAGAGGCCTCCAAAAGGTCCTCCAGAGCCCCAAAGCGCCGATTTCCCTGAGGTTGTGTTTGAAAGATTGTAGCATTTGCGTCTTTTCGGCTTTTGGACGGCCCAAGACGGCCTCAAGGGCCGCCGAGATCGCCTCCAGATGGTCTTGGGGGCCTCCAAAATGGCTCCATGACGGCTCAGGAGGCCCCCGAGACGGCCCCAAGAGGGTCCCGGTCTTGGGGGCCTCCAAAATGGCTCCATGACGGCTCAGGAGGCCCCCGAGACGGCCCCAAGAGGGTCCCGGGACGGCCCATGAGGCCCCCCAGACGCCCCGAATGGTTTCCAAGACGACTGTGAAGCACCCCAAGAGGGCCCCAAGTTGGTTCTGAGAGGCTCCCAAGACGGCCTCCGCGGCGTCAGACGGGCCAGGAGGCCACCACGACGGCCCAAGACGGCCCAAGAGGCCCCCAAGAGGTCTCCAAGACAGCCCAAGAGGCCTCCAAGAGGGCCTCCAGGAAGGCCCGAAGATGCCCAAATCATTGATGCTCCTTTGGTGTTGAAATTTGTTAGCATGTCGTTCTGTTCGGCCTTCCGACGGCCCGAGACCCGCCCCAGAGCTTCCAAAGATCGCCCCAAGATCGCCCAAGCGGCCTCCAAGATGGCCCCAGAACGGCCCAAGAGGCCCCAAAGAGGGCCCCAAGGAGCCCCAAGACGGCCCAAGAGGCATCGAAGAGGGCCCCGAGTCGGCCCAGAGAGGCACCCAAAGACGGCCCAAGATGGCTCGAAGATGGCCTAAGACAGCCCAAGAGACCCCCCAGATGTCTCCAAGACGGCCCAATAGGCCTCCAAGAGGTCCTCCTGGAAGGCCAAGAGAGGCCAACACCATTGATGTAATTTGATGCGCTCTTCGGTGTTTGAAGGATGGTGGCATTTCTTTATGTTCGGCCGTCCGACGGCCCGAGAGGGCCCCAGGGCCCCCCAAAGATCGCCCCAAGATCACCCAAGATGGCTTCGGAACGGCCGAAAAGGCCCCCAAGACGGCCCCAAGAGGGCCCCAAGACGGCCCAAGAGGCCTCCAGCACGCCCAAGGTGGCCTCCAAGACGGCCTGGGAGCACCCCAAGAGGACCCCAAGACAGCCCAGAGAGGCCCCCTAAGACGGCTTCCGACGGCGTCAGACGGGCCAGGAATTCCATACGACAGCCAAAGAGGCCCCCCCCAGAAGGCCCAGAAGCCTCCAAAGGCCCCCAAGAGGCACAAGGAGGCCCCGAAGATGCCTCCAAGAGGCTCCCAGGAAGCTCCCATGAGGCCCCAAGAGTTTCCCCAGAGGCTCCCAAGCTGCACCCTCCTCCTCCTCCTCCTCCTCCTCCTCCTCCTCCTGATCTTTCCCGCCATCATCCCCCACGTATTCCTCGAAGGGTTTCCACAACGTCAGGGGGAACACATGGTCCGATAGCTTGGCAGAGCTCTTGCCACAACGCTCGGCCACATGGTGTTTCCACAATGCAGGGGGTGGCGGTGATTCGCCGTAGGCGTCTTCGATCCACCACCGTGCCTCTGACACGAAGTGGAGTGCCCCGAGGTTCACAGCTGCGCTGCTACTGCAACCAGTATTGTGCTCACAGCTGTGCTGCTGCTGCCAGCATTATAGTTTCCAAGGGGCCCCGACTACCAATTCCCAAGACGCTCTTGGCGCTCCCTGGATGTTCCGCATGACCTCCAGGACGGCTGCAACGCCCCTCCAAAAGACCCGCAGACTTCCGCGGAGCTCCCCACCGAGCGCCCAAGGAGGCCAAGGAGCGCCTCTTGACGGCCCAAGATTGCCCCCAGGCGGCCCAAGAGGCCTCCAAGGCGCCCTAGAGGCCTCCAACATGCCCCCAAAGAGGCAAGCACCATAGCTGTTCAATTGGTTTTTGACGTTTTTTGGGTACTCGCGCTTTCAGCTCCCCGACGCTCCAAGACGGCCCAAGAGGCTCCCAAGATCGCCCGAAGACGGCCCAAGAGGCCCCCAAGACGGCCAAAAGGCAGCCCAAGAGGGCCCCAAGACGCTCCACCAAGCTTCCAAGACGGCCCAAGAGGCCTCCAAAACGGCTCCCACATGGGGCCTAGACAAAGACCACCAATGGACATTTCGCGCCCACGGCCCCAAGAAGCTCGCAGGAGGCCCCAAGAGGCTCCCAACAGGTCCCCAAGGGGCCAAAGGAGGTTCCCAAGAGGTCTCCAAGAGGCCTCCCAAGAGGGCTCCAAGAGGCAAGCACCCCAACGAGCAACCTACAGGCCTATGACCCAGAGCCCAGGCACGGTGGCGGGATGGGCCGAAGGCCATCATATATACAGAAACATGAACACCCATCTTGATATCCAGGTGTGTGTCCACTCGTGAGTTGAATCGCGCGTTCAATGTAAAAGATGATGTCACCACCCCAACTCCGTATCACCCAAAGGGAAGGGTGGTCTATGTGGTATATGTCGCTTGTTCTTCCTCAATGACCTAGGTGGCCACGGCCAGGAGCGTGGCCAGGGGGAGGGATCCGGAGTAGTGGGGAGAGATCAGGGGGAGGAGGGGGAGGAGACCTGGAAGCCCCGCCAAGAAAAAGATAAACCCAATGTCACGGACCAAACTGAAACGGAGCCCTAGGCCCGTTGTGCCTGCTGCATTTCGCTTGAGCTGGATCGATCTGGGATGGTCTAGGGCGTGAAAAACTGAGCGAAAGCGCCCGGAGTGAACTTGGGCCGGCGGTGGAGCTCCCTATGGGGCCAAGAAGCGCTGTGCTGGGTGGGGGAGACAGAGGCAGGGAGGGGGTGGAGGGAGGAGGGGGAGGAAGGAGGAAGGAGGATCGCGGGGCGCTGTCTCTTCAAAACGAGGACCCAACACCACAGGATGCTTGGAAAAAAGCAACGCTCGGATCCAAGGTATTACGCTCATTGCGGATCTTCCCCATCGGCCTGCCATGAGTATAGTTTAACCGATGGCCCATGCCCAGCGGCATGGCCTGGGCCCCACTGGCCGATTTACGTCCCTAGAAAGGGATATAGGTCGTTTCCTTCGCGTTTCGAGAGGTGTGGCCCCAACTGGGGTGGTAATATGGTGGGGGTCTCGAAGGGGATGGGGATGGGGATGGGGATCGGTTAAACGATACCGACTGGAGGCGCCGCCCAGCGATTCGACGTCCTGATCTTCTCAGCACGGGCTCCCTTTAAATCCCCGACACCCATCCCCATGGCCAGCCTTTCGGCATGCAGAACAGCTGCTGAAATGAGGGTAGCTGAAAAAAAAAGGAGCGAAGCCCCTTTTGTCGCCAACAACACTTACACGAGGAGGGCTGGAGGAACAACCGAGCAATGACCCAAGGAACAGCGAGTCCCTCCCGAACCCAAAGCGGTCCTTATTTCAGCGTCTTGACTGTGGGTTGTTTTTTACCAGTTGACTGTAGGTTGTTGTTTGCCAGTCCTGGGGCCCATGGAGGGCCCCCATGGGGTCAACAATGGCAAACATTGTGTTGCTTCGAGCTATCCCCACCGAAACCTTAAGCGTTTGTTCCCGGCGGCGCGCGGTCGCCTGATTAGTTGGTGGAACGCTGCCCGCGGGGCCCTGTGGTCTCGGCCAGTGCGGCGGTCGGGCCAAGTGGCGAATTCCGTTGTCTCCAAATCCGACAACCCCAGAGCTCCTGACGAAAGAAATTGAAAGAAACCCCGGGTGGGAAAAAACAATATTCGATAACGTGCGGTGCGAAACGGGTAGAGAGCCGCAGCCTGTTGAAAGAGAAAGAGGAAGAGCATCAGCAGGAGTGGCAGGAGGAGGACGACGAAGGAGAAAGAGAACGAGGAGGGAGGTGAGGCGGACCTCTCCTCCCTCCGCCTCCTTTTCCCACCACTGCAGAACTGCCGCTTCTGGATTAAAAAACGGTTCAACCGCGTTCGATGTAGTCACGTTCTTTTATGGTATGCTCTATTGTGTCCTGTTGCGTTCTTGACGGGCCAGCGAGACGTCGTGACGCCTGTGACGTTAGATGCGTCGTCTATTATTGTGTTCCTCTTAACTTGTATGTGTGTCTTCTGATCGAATATGTTCTGCTCTGCCCATCTCTGTCCCCATATGATTTGAAAGTGTGTGGTCTGATCTGCTCTGCGGCGCTATGTTCTGACATGACATGTAATATCCATGTATGTGAAACTATGCTCGGTTAAATGATGCTGTTGGCAACTCGGCTCCGTATAGGCTATCATGATGCGCTCTGCTAATGTGTGCCACCATGATGTGCTGTCGTGTTGTGATCTGTTCTGTGATACGGCCATGACATGCTACGATGGCTTACATGAACGCGTGGTATGCTGAGTTATCTTGTGTTATGTCGTCTTCTGTTATGTCATTGCATGCCCTGGTAAATGTGGTTATATTATGGTATGTTTGTTGACGGCTCGGCTGTATAAAGTACATTACGAAATGCTCTGCCAGTATGTGTCGTTATCCTCTGCGGTCGTATTATGATGTGTGCTGTAGTGCTGTCATGGTCTAATATGATACGTTCTGTCAACGGGTGTTATCATATGTTGTATTATGGAATGTTATGGTGTGGTCTGTCATGGTCTGCTCTTGGCATGGTATGTGATGTTATCGTTACTGACGGCTCGGCTCTGTATAGTAGATTCTGATCTGCTCTGCTAATATGTTTCGTTATGCTCTGTTGTCGTGCTATGCTACGTTATGCGATGGTGTGGCATACTCTGAAACGGGCTGTCGAGTTGTGTTGTGTCATGCTCGTTTATGTTATGGTATGTTGTGTTATGTCGTATTCTGTAGTGTCATGGTCTGCTGTGGTATGCTATGTGATGGTATGGCATATGCTCTACGTTGTCATGACGTTGATATGGTATGTCCTGTCATGCTCTGTCATGCTCGTGTTCTGTTCTGTCACGGTATGTTGTCCAATGTTGAATTTTGTCGTGCTCGTCACCGCTGTGCTCGGCTGTCGTGGTATGATCCGCTCTGTGACACTGTGTGATGATATGATATGTTCTCAAGGTGTGGTATGTTACACTCGGTTATGTTATGATATGGTGTGCTATGTCGTCTTGTGTTGTGTTATGGTATGTTCTAGTATGGCATGTAAGCTTATGTTTGTTGACGGCTCGGCTCTGTATCATATCATGATCAGCTGTGTCATGCTCTGCTCTGGTATGTTATGGGATGTTGTGGTATGCTCTATTGTGCCATGACATTGCTATGTTCTGCCATGGTCTGTCATGTTCGTGCTCTGTTCTGTCATGTTCAGTTGTGTCATGTTGTGTTATGTCGTGCTCGTCATCGCTATGCTCTGCTGTCGTGTGATGATATGTCCTGAGATGCTGCTTCATGGTACGAGATGTTATATCAAGGTGTGTTATGTTACACTCGCTGCATGCCTGTCATGTTGTGTCATGCCATCTTATGTTGTGTCAAATTCTGCTCGTGAATGATACGTGATAGTATGTCATGATCTACGTTATAGCAATAGTGACATGTTATGTTCTGTCATATTATGTCATGCTCTGTTCCGTTCCGTCATCTTCTGTTATGCCATGTTGTGTTCTGTTGTGTTTCTCGAGGGCGCGAGGCGGGACACCCGGGACTCTTGGGGACCATCGGGACAACTCGGGGTCTGGCGGCCGTGGTATGCAAGGTGGGGTTGGCCGGGCGCGAGGCGGGACGCCCGGGTTCATCCACCTTTCTGGTCCCGCGTCACGATGTGGTTTAACGGGCCATGGAAATCGAATTCAGGGAAGAACCCCCGGATCGAAAAATCCATACTGCAGGAGATTTGGGGTCTTCGTCTGAGAGGCAACGTGACGGGGGAGAGACCCTCTGAGGGAGGACACGTCGACCTGGCATCGGCGTGCCTCGCCGATAAATCGGCGACGGGCCCTCGACTGCGAATCCGCACGTTCCTTAGGGGGCCACATGCGAACCCTACCCCTACCCCCCACGATTTCTGAGGGGGAGGGTGGGGTTCACTTCGGTCGGGAGCTCCCGAGCGAAGTGAACCCCACACTCCCCCTCAGAAAGCGTGGGGGGTAGGGGTAGGGTATGAGGCCCCCTGTTCCTGGGCGGGGTGGGCCATCAGGCCCCATGGGCGCGCGGGGGTCGCTGCGCCCCCCCCGAGCCTATGCCCCCCGCTGACGCTGCCCGGGACGCTCCCTCGGCCTGCAGGTCCCGCCCAGGAAGAAGTAGATCTCCGCCACGACCTTTGGGGGAACAGACAGGTACCCAGACCGCTACTCCCCAGACGTCTCCTGGAGTGCTTTCTGACCAGACATCCGCTCAGAATCCAACCGGACGTTCTGACCATACGGCCAGCAGTAATGGCACCCCTCCCGGCAACAGCCCAGGGGGGGAGTGAGAAAAGGGCTGGCCTCCTCAGGCGGATCAGAAGCCCACGGCCTCCTGACAAAGAGTCTCTGAACTTTCCCCGAAGACGCAGGAAACCTCTCAGAAGGGCCAGAAGCCTTCTGAGCAACCCCGCCGCCCTTTGAGAAGGCCTCCTCCTTCTCACCTCCCCCCCTGGGCGCGCCGCCGAGCACCGCTCAAAATCGGTCCCCAGATCCTCCTCCACATCCTCCTCCTCCTCCTCCTCCTCCTCCTCCTCCTCCTCCTCCTCCTGCCTCCTCCTCCTGCCTCCTCCTCCTCCTCCCTCCCTCCCTCCCTCCCCTCCCTTCCCCTCCCCTCCCCTCCCTCCCCTCCCCTCCCCTCCCCTCCCTCCCCTCCCCCCCTCCCCCTCCCCTCCCCTCCCCTCCCCTCCCTCCCCTCCCTCCCTCCCCTCCCTCCCCTCCCCTCCCTCCCTCCCTCCCTCCCTCCCTCCCTCCTCCTCCTCCTCCTCCTCCTCCTCCTCCTCCTCCTTCTCCTCCTCCTCCTCCTCCTCCTCCTCCTCCTCCTCCTCTCTTCCTCCGCTTCCTCCTCCTCCTCCTCCTCCTCCTCCTCCTCCTCCTCCTCCTCCTCCTCCTCCTCCCTCTCCTCCTGGCGGTCGGTGTGCTCCCTGGGTCCATCCGACTGGTGTCCACACCGGATCCAGTTCCGGGGGTCCTCTGGGTTCCGAGAGCGGCCCCCCGAGGCCGCGCAGACGACGACAGACCACCGCGGACCCCGAACCCCGCAGGTCGAACCTCCGAGTCCCCCCGCCGCCCCCTCGCTCGGCGCCTGACCTGTACTCGTGGCGGACGGCAGGTTATCCTTGCGGCCGCCACGACGATAAACCGCCGCGGACCTCGAACCCCGCAGGTCGAACCTCCAAGTCCCCCCGCCGCCCCCTCGCTCGGCGCCTGGCCTATACTCGTGGCGGACGGTAATGTTATCCGTGCGGCCGCCTTTCCTGCCCCGTCCCACGGCTCAACCCGGCGGGGCGGGAGAAAGCTCGGCGCCAACTTTCCTCCTCCGAGGCCTGGGCGGCGGCCAGCTGCGCCCGGGCCGCCTCCTGCACGGGCCGCAGGCGCCCGTGCAGCCTCACGAGCGCGCCGGCCAACAGCGGCAGGGCCGCGGCGGCGACGCTCAGGGCGAGGCGGAGCCAGGAACCGAGGGGTTCCTCCAGAGACGCGGCGTGGGCCGAGAGATTTCGTCACGTAATGCGAAGTTCCCCCCTCCCCACCGAATCTCCATCCTCCTCCACCTTTTTACATCCTCCTCCACCTACTCTCTCTCTCTCTTTCTTTTTTTTTTTCTCTCTCTCTCTCTCTCTTTCTCTCCTCCGATTGGCATCAAGTGACGGATCAAGTCGCCGACGGCAGCGGCGGCGGGGCGGCGAGGAGCAAAGCTGCTCACAAACTGGGCAAGCACACGGCTGGACCAAGGGACGGAAGAGCAACCTTGAAGAACGCGAGGCCCTCCGTCGACCAACACCCACATGGAACATTGGAGGGTACCCTCCTACGACGATGGCGGTGACGATGGCGATGGCGACGACGATATTTTCCTCCGACAGATGGCTCGCACGGAAATCTGCTTTAGCCCGTGGGCAGCCTCGGTTCACTCGTGCACCCGACAAACACGAAGAGCACCAATGCACCCTCCCCGAGAATCGGCGGCGGGGCGTCGGGGAACTACGGACCTACTGTAAGTACTAAAAGGACCCAGGGACACACACACACACAAACACATAAATAGACACACCTCCCAGGATCCCCAAGGTGCTTCCATGTTTTCTGTATGTTCGTCGTCCCTTACGCTTCCCATATGTTCCCACATGTTCTGGGGAAGCTAGATTACGTGTGTTTGTGTGCCCTCCTCCGTCCTGATTTACGTTGGGCAAACATAAGCATCATGGCTGTTGCGTTCCTCTGGCGGCTTCCTGGTCGAGAAGATCTCCGTCGTCCACCAGGGTCCATCAACTGACAATCGTCCAAATGTTGTGCGGGGAAATTGGGTTTCTCGCGAATTTGTAGACCCCGTTGTTTTGCTGCTGTAACTCCCCCACCGTAATTTGGATCCGACGACAAAAACATGTGGCCCTCGATGATCGCCCCAAGAATATGGACGGGCGTCCCGTGTGTGACACGAGACCAATTGCGTTTTTCCTGGTTTCGCTTCTTTTAAAAAGGGTTGCCCAGTAATGGAATGATCAGCCTCGTACAACAGAATTTGCCCATGAACCGCTGCACTGCGAAGGGCGTCGATGCAGGACGCACCATCGCGCGAGGCGGCGCGATCCTTCTTAGTGGAAAGCAATCTTGCCCAGAGCGGAGTAGTGTAGTCCGCCTCAGGCTTCGGGGCCTTCGTTTTCGCGTGTTTCAGCAACTAGGCCGGCAACAGTTTGGCCGAAGTCGATTGGCTAAACTCTTTGCAACTCTCTGAGACTATAGTTGGATCGGCAAAGTGACCTCTACTTGCCCTCATCGCTTCGGCAACGCGCGATACGCGTGTCTCCCGAGGCCAACAATTTGTCGTGCTAGACAGGCAGGTGTCCTTCAACGGCGCGGCATTCGTAGGAGCAAGGACCGTTTGCCGTTCGCATTGGGCAACGCGCTGCCAAGGCTGATGGGGTGGCCAACCAGAGAGAAAGTCATCGCTCCTTGCCGTGCCTGGATCAACGCCGATTCTGACCATCGCAGGGCCAACCGTTCAACTGCCTCTTACTACTATTGCTTCCCAACATCGGGATCCAGCCCTTTATGCGCGTGGCACATGCGGGGGGAATCGCGCTCCACGGATCTGGCCAAGTTCATCTGGCCTCCTCCGCGGGAGTCAGCACTCCGAGACCCGGGGCCGCGCGCGCCCCTTGGGCCGATGGGGGCCATCGGCTGCCATTGTCCTGCCATCGGCCCCTTCAGCAACGTCTCGCGGCGGCGGAGGCGCGCTCGGATCAATTCCACGCGCCGCAGCTGATTGGGGGGACGGATCGGGCAAAGCCAGCCCGCGATGTTCCAACCATATGTGATCGACCGCCCCCCTCGCGGCCGCATCATCCCGACGCGGGGCGCGCTCGACGCCAGCGGGGGGCATGCCAGGAACGAAAGCTGGGCCACCGCGCGGCAGGACATAAAACGGCCCCATTTCGGTTCAGAATCCACGAATCGCCACTCGTCCTCATCGGCGCGGTTGCAACATTTAAATGAGATGTTGGATAGAGTGGCGCCAGGGGTATTTGCGGGAACTCTTGTCTCGTCAATAGTTCCTTATAGTGATTGGTGCCATGGGTGGAAGCAAGTGCCTTCCCTTGCGCCGTGCTCCAATCCGCCCAGCACGGTTGCCATCGATGCCAGTTCGCTTTTTTTTGCGCAGTCCTGCCTGCGGGCGACCACCCCCGGAACCTGAGCCGACGCAGGGCTGCGCATTTTTTAAATAACCAACAAAAAGACCCACGCCGACTCGTCTTTGCAATGCATTCTGCAAACGTGTCGGGGGTGTTCGACGGACCCCCTTTTTCATTTTCGTAACGCTGATGGCTCTCGACGAAATGAAAAGCGCCTTTGTGTTGATTCTTCAGCTTCCCATGCAAAACTGCGCCGTCCAGAATTACAATATGCGGGGATAGATCGGCGGCCCAACATCGTTTAATTCGTCTTCTGATCTCATTGCGGATCAATGAATATATGTCATCACATGGAGGACCGGTTTCAATGTCCGCGACCCTGGATTTCCAACGCGCATTGCCGCCGCCACTGTGAAACACGCATGATGTTATATGGTGCGCAGGCGACTGCTTCATCAGCGAAGAGCGTCGCGTCCGCCAGTGTCTGCGACACTGTTCTGCGCACAGAGCTCAAGACTTATTCTTTGCCCCTGCAACTGGGCCCATGCTGCTGTCGGACACGTCATTCCAGTTCCAGAAAGCATCAGCGATGCGATGGAGTTCCAGAATCTGAGACTATGGACGCGTTTGTTTCCTGAGCCAGTCCATGTTCTGGAGCTGTTTTCTGATTGAACTTCCCATCGCGGCAGTGGTGGTCACTTGCGAGCGCCCGTGCATCATATCCCCTTAAAAGGCTTATTTTCGATGGGTTTGTTCTTTGATTCGAATCTGGTTTTCTGGGACGACGCAGTCGAATCCCCAGCAATCGGGGGGAAAACAGATTCCAATGTCTATGCTCTTTCCTTGAATTGGCATCGAGAGTTGTTTCATCGGGCGCGCGAGTTAATATGGGCCCCTGCTTGACTTATGCATCGCGCAAAGCCCCCCCCCCCATGTGCGCGGCGCCCAAGCGTGGCCGCTCGCCGCGGAAATCGCAGCTACGACCTGGCACCCAGCATTATTTCTTCAACGGCAACTGACCAATCGACGGAATAAGAGGCATTCGCGGTATCGGTTCCCTCAATGTCGTCTGCGATGCTGATCATTGTGCTCTGCCTTTGCATAAATGTTCCACGGGCCCCGATCGGCAGATTAGGGGCCCCCCTCATCTGCCTGTGAACTTGGACCTCCGACACCCGCTCCGGAAGGCCGCGGCGGCGGAGCCCAGTCGCCCCCCCCCCCCCGCCCGCTGAGCAGGTAGCAAAAAAAATCGGGGCCCCACTGCCGCCGGCAGGCTGCTGGGCACCATCGGCGGATCCATGTCCAAACGGTGCTCCACTCGTCTCGGCGCCATGTCCTGCGCCGTCGGATGGGTCCCCCACCACGGGGGCGTCTGCGACGTCAACGTCTCCGACGGCGCCGGCCGAGATCACTCTGATATAAACATGTTCAATGACTTGGTCGGACGCATCCCCGTCCGAGCCGGCGGCGCAGTTCAACATATCATCGTTCATCCCTGCCGAGTCGCATTGGGTGAGGGAGCAGGTGTCGACAACGAAGATCAGTTATATCTTCACTTTCTTCCTCTTCCCACGATCGACGCATCGACCCTCCCATCTGGTGGCGCGCTGGCGTGGTTCTTGTTGAGTAGGGGCCGCGCGCGCATATTTAACGCGTTTGCTGGGCGCCGACGATGTCTCAGACAAGGCAGAAATCAACGCAGCACAACTGAGGAACGGCCCAGAAGAGCAGCAGGAGCGAGGGGGTCGCGGCCGCCCGGGGGGCGGCCAACCTTGCGGGCCAGCAGTCGCCGCGACTGCATGCCCGCGGGCCAAAGCGGCGGCGGCGGATTGCTCATGTCGCGAGCGCGGAGACGCACGCTGCGCATCTGCAAAGCACGCGCAATAACAATATGTCTTTGATTTGCAAGGGCAAGAAGTATAATTCTCACACACACACACAGTGCAATTATTATTCCCCCTGGCTTCAACATGATCGCGCGTGTCACCGCAAAATCTGCGCAATCCATTCGTAATGTCAGTAGCTGTGGCTGCAACTGCCTCATGCTTTTTCATGTTCCTTGCGTGTCTTCCAATCCATACGAGCATCTGTGTAATCTACATTTGTGGAATTGATTAGCACGAAGGAAGTCACGCACTTGTGGCTCCTCCGATACTGGCAAGCCGAGAGCCATTCGATGCGCACCATCCCTCCCCCTGCTGAAGCGCTGTAGCAATCTCTTGGGCATGCCGAACCAATGTTCGGAATGTGGCTATGATTCCCCTTCTGACGTCTCAATGATCTGTGACCTCCTTTTCGACAGCATACGGACTCATTGACGCGTTGCCGGGGTGATCCTCCGCGGCCAGGAATGGGGGTCCAGAGAGCACACGTTCGCCCTGCAGTGTCCCCGCTGAGTGCATTAGATGTCCCTGCATTCGTGGTCATATCTTCATTTTTCATCATAGCGCATGTCTATGCTTCTGTTGTCATAGAAACTGACGGGGCCACCAATCCTGCTCTGTTCGCCACAGGGGAATTCGAATATAAGGCGCTCTGGGTGCGGATTTTGCTTGTCGGATCTAATATTGAAATCGTTGCTTTGGCTAGCTGCGCCCGCCGCTGAACCGCGAGCAGCACCGCCAGCCTGCGCCGCGCCCGCAGCTGAGCTGCGAGCAGCAGCGGGGGCCTTCGCGGCCGCAGAACCAATAGAAATAACAAATTTGCCTATGACTGGATTGCCCTTTCCGACGCGCAAAAATACGTTACCTCTCTTGCTGGGCACATAGGCCCCTGTTCGCACTGCGCCATGGGGCCGACAGCAGGCTTGATAATCCCCCTGGGTATCAAGGGGAGTC